GCTAGCCTCTCCAATGCTAACGCCAGCTTATCCATGCTAGTTGCTAGCCTCTCCAACTTATCCATGCTAGTCACTAGCCTCTCCAATGCTCACAAAAAGGAATAGCCTCCTTCTCATTTGCCAGCTCCAGTCTCTCAGTTAGTGGTGCCGGCCTATCATTAATCAGATCAATAACTGGTTAAGAATAGATACAGCCTCCTGCTACAAGGATGTAGCAACCACTGGTTGTGCAATTGTCAATGTCAATTTTGGCCCTCATATTGCACCATACTCAGAGTTGTAAAGTAACTAAGTACAAATACTTTGTTACTGTACTTACGTAGAATTTTTGGGTACCTGTACTTTACTTGAGTAATTTTACTTTTCACTTTCTACTCCTTACATTTTTAAAAAAAGGCAAGAAGTAGAAAGTCATTACTTTTATTTGATTTTTACTTGTTTTCATTCCAGCTTGTAAAAAATAAAAACTATCCATATAAACTGAGCCTCCTAGATAGAGTGAATTTGATTGTGGTTGAATGAGAAGTATAAATATATAAAATTCTGATACCGTATTAGTTTGTACACAAACAAATCATGTCACACTCCAGCAGGATATAATCATTAAAATAAAAGGACTGTACTTAAGAAGTATTTGTATTTCATGAATAATATTATTACATTTGGCCGCAACCCTCAGACAGGTTTTCATTTTGGAGAAAATACTTGGGCACCTTTGATATGTGTATATAAACTGAATCAGCTAGACTACTGCATCCTAAATTTAACAAATTGATTCTTTTAATATGATATAGACTTTTCTGCATTTTTTTGGGGAGGTCACCTCCTAATAGATGTCATTATGTAAAATCTAACTGCTCATTTTGTATCAATAATTTTAATACTTACAAATAATATCGATACTTTAAGACTTTTACTCAAATAACATTCCTAAAGGACACTTAACTTTTACCATAGAAGTTTTTTGGTAAGATACTTGTACTTTTACTCAAGTATCACTTTGTGGTACTTTATACCAGGGGTTCTTAACCTTTTTTGACCTCGGGGCCCATTTTGTTGAACATAAAGTGACACGAGGCCCAGTCAGACATTGCCAAAGTATGGATCAAAATGATAATTATTCTAAATCTTGGTTTAATTTGTATTGTATTTACATCATAACTAAATTAAATACAACTACAATTTAAAAGCAAACGCCTATTAAATAATCACAAGACATGATTTTGACAAACATTTTTACATTGTAACCTGCCCATAGCAATTATTATAGGTCTTCAAAAATTAGCATATTGTGATAAAGTTAATGATTTTCTGTAATGTACTGATAAACATTAAAC